GGAACTTACCTTTTCCGTACTTGCAGGAATTCTTGTCGGTCAAGCGTACGCTTTGTCAAGTCCGTGCGTGGCTGCTGGTTGTGTCAAACGTCATGGAATGCATTTGTGTTCTCTTTTTCCGCCCTCATCGATACCATCACTGTCTTAGTTGTGAACACCCTTTCCGGTGCGTCTCAAATAGTATCCTTGATGTCTACGACCGGCGAAGGGTCCGCAGTGTCAACGGCATTGGGCCTGATCGCATCGGTCTTTCAGTTGGTGGTGGCAATTGGCATTGGTCTTGATGGGGTGGGAAGATTTTTTGAAGTGGGTGGCCTCTATCGCGGCGTAAGGATAGAAGATCAAACTACGCCAGCACAAAAAGTTACGAACTTGTCGAATATGGAAGTGAAAAATGATACCCCTATGGTGCACGAACGGCGCAATCGCAACCTGATGCTACCATCTTGCGATGAGAAAGACATCCAACAGCGCCAGAATCGAGTCGTGGATGCTGCAGCTCTCGCTCACCTGTCGACGATCATTGCGACGATATGTGATGTGCAGTATGCGCTAAACGCGTGAATGTTTCAACCTCCCTAACTGTGCCTCTTTTTTCCGCTTTTTTTTTTGGTGTTTGTTTGTTTGTTCGTTCCCGTCAAATGAGTAGATCATACCTTCACTCTCCACGCACAGCTCTGTATCTTCTTTTTCTCCCGATCCAGATTCCCCTCCGCAACCCATTGCGTGATCTCTTACTCGTGTTTCCCTTCTAAGTGTTACTGACTCCGTGGATGTTCCGATCTCAAGTGGGTGATTTTAGTCGTACTCGCTCCATGCACAAACAGCTCTTTTTTTCTCTTGTTCGCATCGCAGAGATTAAGAATGCTTATTCTTGCACTTTAATTCAACAATACATTTTCTTTGCGCTGCGTATGTCTTTCCCTCTTCTTCTTTTCGTTTGTGAATGATGTCAGAATTCCATTCACCACAAACATCTTTCACGAAACATTAGTCGAAAAAATGTTGGTACCGTGTATCGTCTTGCTCGTTGGTGTTGTACTTCAGCTCGCTACAGTCACCGCTGTGTTGATGTCATCGGAGCGGAATGCCCTCATTGCAGTCTACAACAATACAAACGGTGCGTCATGGAGGGTCTATTCCGACGAGCCGCCGCAACCTGGCTGGACTGGCGGCGTGGGCGTTTGGGCTGTTAACAATGTTTCATCTGACCCCTGCCTATGGTACGGGGTCATGTGTGCCAACAACATCGTCAGCACACTTGCAA